CTACATAACAAGAGCTTTATTGGCTTTACTGATCTTTTTGAGAGCGTGAAATTAATCAGCCAGAATATTTCATTTTGATTTTTCTCTGAAGTGTTAATTTTACATGATAAACAGCAAGACATTTGTTCGTAACTTAGGTGCCCGTTACGAAACAAGACATGATCTAACATAAACACAAGTCAAAATGTCCCCGAACTTATCAATGTCCACAGGTTTCGGTTTATTTCGAAATAGCAACTTTCTTACATCTCATGAACGTGTTGTGAATAGTTATATTAGCGTTTTTATGTATATTCATTTGTTGTGCTTTGCTGAAGACAGTTACCAGGAATCTAAACCTGGTAATGAGAAACGCCAGGTAAGCGGTAGTTATTGCGTGACAAAACATCGTAGGAAACCGTCACATTCACGGACTAAAAGAAAATCGCTTATGATTATTCGGATCCAGGAGGCACTTTGGAGAAAATTAAACAACCTAAAACCCTTATTTAGCGGCAATGAAGAGCACTGCATTTCAAAAAAAGTCAAAGGAAATGCTCTTGCATCAAAGGGCAAATCATGTCGACCAGAAACAACAATAACCGCATAAATGCGTGTCATGACCTCTCAGTATGAAATAAGCGGCAAAAGTCACATTTGCTTTGAGTGATTTTTTTCCATTTAGTTTTTAGTCATATATTTATTTGAGAAGTAAAATTTAGCTTTTAATCTGACTTACTGTAATAATAATAAAATCTACACGATGGTCCGATAACTTGAGTCCTAACTAGAATATCTAGCCCTAACTAGAATATCTAGCTAAAATGTCATTTAAAATGAGTATTTCATGCTTTTGAAGTTTTTAAAAAATTTTTTTTTTAGCTCATAAATCTATCTGTTACTGTACATCGATTTCCTGTGGTTTTTGGTTTGACAGAATTTTGATCTCGGAAGCACTGTTTACATTTCCAGTCAAGCGTTTTATGCAGGAGTTCATCCATTCGATGATTTTGAGTAGGTTTAATGTAAAGGATCGTTCACTTCTCTTCAGCAAGAAACTGCAATAGCCTTACTTTTACCTAATTCTATGAGTCCTGACCGGCACATGTAGGCCAAAAATAGCCCTGGTGTCTGTACACAGGCTAGCCGAACATCTTCACGCAATGTCCGCGCTAAAATCCAGATATAAGATCTCTGATTAACCGTTGATTTCTGTACGTCCACCCGCAACCGGTGCAGCAAACATGCCTATATATTCCAGAGAGCCGAAATCCAAGTAAACAAATACAAATGCGGTAAGCCGTCGCAAAGGCTTAGTTTTTCCCGGGGGAGATTCATTCACCAATCGCAACACCGGAAATTATTTGCGTCATGGCATTAACATTCCATCAATCAGAGGCTGTCCCCAACATTCCGGGGAAACGGGAACACGATTATCGTCGGCGATTCACAGACGTCTCTTCCCCCGATTTTTTCGGAGCGAGTGGGGACGTCTGTACACAGGCTAGGGAAAAACGAGAACACCCACGTTATGACTAGTTGAAAAAAGGGAGGGGTTTCTTAGCCAATCACATTTTGAAAAGCGTAGCAAGCGCAACATTACTTTGACCGTTTCAAATGGAAACTTTCCCAACAAAAAGCAAGCGTAACACTATTGACCACTCCAGAAATACCATAACATACCATACGGCTCTTTTTTTGTCACTCCAAAATTTTGCATAAGCATTGTCTTCAGTTCCTCTTGGGAGTTAAAATGGCCCCAAGAGAAACTGAAAATAACGCTTATGCAAAATTTGGGGTGACAAAGAAAGAGCATTATGGTATGTTATGGTATTTTCTGGAGTGGTCAATATTATCGATCTATAACAGGGTATTTGTGAATTTGCTGCACAAACTTGACAGATATTAACCAAACACAAGAGCACGTATGGATAGAAAAAGCTACTTATTAAGGATATGAACCATCGCTCTTTTCCCTTCTCTTCTCGGCTCGACATCGTGCTGGTAGGCTAACTAGGATTCAATTTGGATGGTTTACGTCGCAAATGAATTGACGCCTACACAGGTGATTGAACACATTTCTTTTGTCGCAGAACTTTCGTAAGCAATCTCCATCATTTCAGAGTCAACAGCTTCTAAGAGTTTAGTGTGAAGTTGGTGCGACAACGCTAGGGCGTTGGGGGACTGTCACTTTCCTTCATTACCCTCCCCTACTAGTAGAAACAATACCCCTCCTAGCGTTTTCTTCACGGACGAAAGTCGACTTGAACCTACAAAAAGGAGGACAAAACCAGTAAACTGCGTTGACTATGCATTAAGGGGAAAAGTAGAGGGAAAGAAACGGGGAACGCTTGCATGTGTCGAAAGAAAAACTCTTTTATCAATTTAATGGAAATATAAACATAGAACTACACGGAAGGAGTGGATTTTGTCTTTCCAAATGGTATTCGTTCTTGCTACTTTTATAGGAAACATCTTAAACCATCAAACGTAGAGAAACCTTTAAATTTCAAAGCAAAAGAGACGCACTTTAGTCATTTTATTCCATGTCTCCACCCTTGCACTCTGTCAGTCTTATCATCGAAAAGGAAAATGGAAAATTAAGTAAAGTATATAGCCCCCTAGCAAGCTCTCCATTTTGGATATTATCGCCTCTCGCAGCTTTTCCCTTCGCTCAGATAGATGAGCCTACAACCAGGGGCTTATGTGCAGGAAGGAAGAACTTGTAGGCAGTAGTTGTTACTCACAGTACTCGGGAAGTGATCGGATCTTCCGAGAGTTTTCCGACTGCCCCGGCCCCTTATACTCCCCAACATGCATTTTCAGTACCAGGCCTCAACACAACACACTAAATGGCCGCCAAAGAAAACAAATTTTAAGCATCAATAAAGTAAGTTATCTTTAAATAAATTTCATACGTGAGAGCCCCCTGTGGCGAAATGCAGAGATTGCTTACGGGCAGACAAAATACTTTTGAACGCGCGACTCAACTTTTAATTTCTCGATACGGTAGGAAACCAAGTCACTCATAGCACAATGCAACATTATATTTTATTCAAGAAGCACAAAAATTACCAGTCAAACATCTTAAAAAAAGAGTTTGTCTTTATAACTCACGTGAAATATCTCGCGATGTCATGATCACTTCTCGAATGAAAAATCCGAAGAATCTATAACCCTTGGCGAAACTGGAGAGTTCAACCATATCGTTTCGTTTATTTGTTCTCTTTTCAAAGTTGCCGACTCTGATTAAATATGCAATTCATCTTTCTAAAATTATAGACCCGCATAAAACATGACAAGTTTCTGTCGATTTGTCCAAAGATAATATTAATTAATTACTGCCATAGCTTTCCAAAGTTATTTTGATTTTTATTATTGTTGATAAATCTATCGCCGAATTTTTGATATCAGCCAGACTTGCTTACTGGGACAATGTTTTTTTCTCTTAAGATCATCATTTCCCGACACTGACTCGCTTGACGATTTTTCGGCATCTCGTCAGATCTAAAAAACAGGGTCACCCAACGGCAATTTTCGGGCAAATATCTGTTCGGAAGACGATTTGAGAACTAGAATTTTCGGAACATTTGTTGTAAAATTTCTTGCTTGCCTGCCTCTCCTAGGATTTTCGAACATCTAAAAAATGGTATAATTACCCATTTTAAACGGATATTTACCCTAAAAAAGGCCACCTAGAATTTTCGGGAGCCTTTTCCTGGCTGAAATTTTCGAAAAGGTAAGTTTTGATCCCTATAATTTTCGGATCACTAGACTTTCAGCTAGGAAATCCGAACAGATGAAAAGTTTTTAGGGGATAAAAATATGCCTATATCTACCGTTTAAATACTAAAATACGTTCAACAATGCTATGTTAAGTGGTTTTGAACTATATCCTCGTTGGGTGCCCCTGAAAAAAGCTCAGTGTTCAGTCTGTGGAAGGCGTTCAGTCTGGTGAAAACGTAAAGCTGTTCTATTTTACAGTCCTACTTCGTGATGTTTTATATTTTCAAAAATTTTCAATAAGTAACAAGTCAAACAGCTGCACTTTAATCACTGAAGATAAAAAAATTCCCCGTTTCTTTTGGCAGTGTATGTTTTTTTTTCCACATCAGTTGTAGTTATTTGCTTTCTGCTCTTATCTGTTTCCATTGTTCCCGAAGTCTTATTTCAACAAAATGCCCGGAAAGACGGTGAAAAAGCAAAGTTTTTTGACAGCGGGAATAGCATTGTAGGAAAATAGTTCTTAAATTGCAAGATAATTAAACCCAACAAAACATCGATCTTCTTTCATTCGTTACTTGAGGCAATCAAAATATATTGAACGTGAAAACGAAAACATCAGGTTGCTTGAAATTCTTATTTGTGTTTGATCAAATCCGCGGTCGATAAGGGTACTTGAAATAAGCGAAAAAGGGAAAATATACCCTCATAAGAGGCTTCAGACAATAATGCTGCTTGTAGTAATTTGATACCTGGACGATCCCTTCAGGTTATTTTTGCTAAGAGCAATTAAATATTCAATCTACTCGATAAATGAGCCGAAAAAAATATTGAATTGCGTAATAAATCATTTCTTACCGTTTCATTTTTGCTAAAAATGATATTTTCTTCGACAGTTGTATAGCGACTCATTATTTCTAACTTTAATATAGTGACAATAATGATCGACAACCAATTTCTCTCTACATTAATGACACAATGCTTGATACAGCTGATAATTAACAGTGTCTAAAGATCATCTTATGAGAGGCACTATTCATGAAATGCTAAATTCTCTAAATGTTATCAAGAAAGTCAATGGAAGTAAATAAGAGCATTTTTAGCTGTGAGCCATCAGCAGGTGTTGTTATCAAAAGCCGGAAAGTAAATTCTAAAGCATCAAACAAAACCGTGATTGATTATGTAAGCACCTTCTTTGAAGTCAAGAAGAACTTATACGCGGGTTTTAAGGCGTTGTTTGTTAGTTTGTTTCACTAATCGTACTCTGACTATCACGGAATATATCACAGGGTTGAAAAATGGCCGAAAAATACAACTTATCCTCTGTCGGACCCACACAAAGTTATTTGAACAGCTCAAGAGCACCTGTAAAGTATGTGAGATCTGAGGCTGATACCCTCATGTTTTTAATATTCTCGGTTTTGCTTGCGTTTGCCATTTTATCCGGAAACACGATGGTTATGGTCGCTTTCAAGCATTGCCGAAAACTCCGCCGACGGAGCAACATGTTTTTAATCAGTCTAGCATGCTCAGATTGCCTCGTGGGCATCGTGTCCTTGCCTCTCTGGATTCTCATCTCCGGTCTCGGAATCAGCAAAAGTGAAGCTCTTTACTCATTCTTTATCAGCTTCGACATTTTCAGTGCATTGACCACGGTTTTCCACCTAACGGCCATCAGCGTGGAGCGCTACTTGTCTGTGTCGAGACCGTTCTTTTACCAACGACTACCACTATATTTCTACACTGGAACAATCGCGGTGGCTTGGATCTCAGCTGCATTGGTCGCGTCACTAAGTCCACTGCAAAGTTTATTCAAACTTCAACGCTTTTTTGCTCCCACATTCTTCACTGTAGGTTTCCTAGGCCCGCTATTGATCATCAGCGCAATGTATGCTGGGATATTTCGCATCGCTCTATCGCTAAGTCGCCACACACCTGGTATCACTGAGCATGCGTGCGAAACAACCTGTAGTGAGAGAAGCCAGTTAAGAAAAGAGATCAAACTAGCGATGACTTTGACCGTTGTCTCGGGGTTTTTCTTCCTGGCCTGGCTTCCATTCTACGTGCTGTTAATGACCGCGGTGTACTGCCCACACTGCTTGCCGGGATATCCTGGTTTACAACGACTGGTTGATTTTGTCAAATGGATGCATTACTCCAACAGCGCTGTGAATCCATTTGTCTATGTACTCAGGGACCCGGAAGTAAAGAAAGAGTTTATAAGGTTGATTCAAATCAGACGGCTGTCAGCCAGGTTTAGCCAGTCGAGTTCTCGATCGTCTAGATCTAATCGGTCGTCCAATAATATTCAAACCGCATGAAAATAACACTGGAACATGCAAAACTGATGTACACCAAATTGCGATAACGTTGCCATCGACCAATGAAAAAAGGGAATTAAAAAATGCGCAACGCGCTCGCTACACGCTCAGGTACCAGGAATCTGATTTACAGCTTTCCTTTATTCTTCGTAATCTTCTTACTCTTTTTAGTAACTCTTCCACTTTCACACTAACTTTCTTCTACTAACTTCCACTACTCTTTTCCACTTACTAGTTCAAGTATAGTAGCGATTTTTATAGCCAAGGCTGGAAATGTTTGGGCTAGCTGACCGGGAGACCTTCAGTATTGAACATCTTATCGCTAACATTGCAACAGGTTTGCTATTGTTAGGGAATAGACTAGGGTATCTAAAAGATAGTAATGCTACGGCACATTCTGTTGATACTGGCATCAGTTAGACAGTGGGACTTAAAAGAATCGAAAATGACATTGAATGTCCTATTTACATGTTGGAAAGTACTAGAATAATAACTATCAGTCTATATAAAGAACTCGTGGGAACGTTGTTTAAAAGATGATCAAGTGGTTATCAACTCTGGTTTTCCCACAGTAAATTGTAAGAAATGATAGAAATTCAGATTTTTTATTTAATATAGGGTGTACTATCTTTTCTCTGGAAACATGATACTTTTCTCGCTGTTTATTGCACTTTATTAAGTAACAGTTATTTAGCTGTATATTTATAGAAAACAACAACACAAAAAACAGAAAAAAAAAAGAAAGAAGGAAAAAAATAGTTCGGTAGGACTCGAACCCACGACCATCGGCTCGACGCGACCACACCTCACCACAACACCACAGAGACTGATTACGTAATGATGGGAAAAGTCTTTAATTTAATTCCTTTTCCGTGAAACTTCCGCCGGCAAGATGATCGCCAGCCGCATTAATCGAGCTATTAACAGCAAAAAAAACAATGTAAACGCATATTCCATGGCAATGAATGAATGAAAGAACATAATTATGCTTTTCAAAACGCTGATACACGTCCTCGTCTGCAACGTAGGACACAAAACATATGTTTTGTTATCTCGATTTCTGCTGTTATTTTGAAGCGAATGGTCAAAATCACATCCATTTTCGGCTCATACAGGTTCTTAAGAATAGCATGGCATGACATTTTCTCACTTTCACGTCACCTTCTAGCAAGCTGGAATTTGTATATCCCCCGTGTTGCGGAGTCGAAGAGCAAATACTCATCTTCTCGTCAGGTTTAACACCTGGACGAGTCAAAGGGTCTTGAATTGATGAAATCGAATCCCCAAGTTAACCATCGTACTCATCTGAAAGACTCCTGCGTGTCTTAAATTTGGTAAGACCTCTAACTGTGCTGTAGAAAATTTGCTACAAAGAAAACTCTGAGTCTGGGCAGCGAACGATGCGAACTTCCCCGTGTTTTTATTTGACTTGTTCGTGGCGCAATGCACTCTGGTTAAATACAATGCATTGTGGTAAAAAGTGGTTAAATGCAATGCATTGTGGTAAAAAGTGATGAATTCGAGAATTCGTCGCCCCTTATGTATTTCCCTTAAATCCTGATTATGTTGCTGCTCACTCCCTACGGTCGCTCCGCAGTAATTAGCCTACGCAGAGTCGCAACTGACAAGTACCAAAGAACCAAGGCCAGCTCTAACACCACAAACACGACCACCTGTAAAAAACTAACATCTGAGAATGCCAAGCGAATAACATTCCTAATATGGCAATAAGCAAATTCGCGAGCTAAGCATAAATTCAAGTACAACAAAAACAAAAGATCAAAACAGGAAAACAGTGCGTGGACAAAAACAAGACTTAATGAAACAAAAACTAAACTTAAAAGATAAGATGGATCCGTCTTAAAAATAACTTTCAAAATACTTCACAACAATAGGAACAGACACGCTCGTTACATTCAGGAATCTGGTCTAATAATTTATTAAGGATGAAACTAAAAACTCTTTTATGGTAGCCAATTTACCTTCTCTTAACTCGACAATCATGAGACTTTGAAGGTGTACGCACGAAAAGGAGAGTTAGACTGACGAGGGCACTCTAAATTAGGGGGATGTGGGTGCATGCACCACCAAAATGTTTCCAAATTTAGGGGTTCTGAAATGTCATTTCCTGCGTTTTTGTATAGGAAATTTTCATCAAATAATCGAAGAAAAATGTAACAATCATTTGTCTATTCAGGGTATTTTACATCTCTAGTAATGTCGATAATCTACAGTGTTTACGAAATAAAGGGTAAAACAGTGATGCCATCGAGGAAGTTACAAGCAAAGGACGAAAGGTCTACCTCTCAGAGGGGTGGAATACACCAATATAATGCGAGAGATTTATCAATCATCTTAATGGTAAAAATGCTTTTAGAAAATAGTAATAAAAGTTTTCAGATTTCATTTGAACGCACGGGCGTATTTGTGTATGTGGACTCTACGCTCCTGGACCAACTGATGTCAAATTGAAATAATATACCGAACTAAAAAGGGCTTTCAGGATTATCAAAATATCATTCTGTTATTTGCATAGCCAATTACTCTTTATTAGCCTTTTTTGTTTTTGCTTTTCTCTATGGCAAGCTAGATTGTTGCAATTAGGTGTATCTAACCAAACTCTTCTAGACGAGACTTGTGGCCAGATGACTTACTCAAATGTACAGTGTTGTTTAGTCTCAGTAGAAACCAACCTTGTGTTCCGCTTTTTAGGAGTCTTGTATATTTCGCAGGTGAAAACCCCGTGAATTATGACGATGCACCCATCCCGAGGGTCACAAGCCATCCGGATTTCCTCCGCGCCTCGCATTTTTGCAGCTTGCTTGCGCGTTCTCGCACGAAATGCTTTGTTACTGGATATTATTACTAGAAACCTTTGTTTAAAACTCAGTCTGTTATCTGACTTGCGTTGCACTTCTTAGACTGAAACCGCGTTTGCGTTTGGCAAACTGAAAATGAGGCCTTAGACCACGTTTCTGTTTAGCACTAGCTGGAGCCCATCGAATTTCATGGGCTCCTGGCACTAGCTAAACTCCGTTTAAATGACTAGCCCGGCCTTATATTTTTGAGCAGTGAAAATAATAACTTTAGCTTTGAAATATCTTTCTAAGCTTTTGCGATTTCTCTTGGTTGACGGCAATAAAAAAAAAGGCCTCGCCACGGCTTCTTCCACTTTTCATCTTTCCCTTTCATGCCATGCGCGCTTTCTAGCTGCCCGGCTTTCCCAGGCTCTTCTGGCGCAGAGGTCTCTGCGATATGGCGATAAAGTTAGGATTCACTCCTTTTTTATGCCATACAATGGGAAACAGGTCACAGATACAGTTAATAAAGAACTATTCACGGTTGTTTTGCATAGAGAATTCTCGACTGAGGCCAAAAAAATACACACATTTAACGCTGTATTAAGCGCCCTCATGCAGATGTCTCCAGCTTGTTTTGGGGCTTTATGGCAGGGGGTGCATAGACACAGGTTGTTCCCCTGGCTAAAAGAAAGTTAAAACTATTTTCACCTCGGTATGTTCTAGCATGTTTAGAGTTATCTCTAACAACTCGTAAATTCTCTATTTTCAAAATGATCCCTTAAAAAAATATAAGCCCCCAACTCGCTTAGAAGGGCTACTCAAAAATGTTCTATGTGGGGAGACTTCGCCCCGAGGTCCAACCCCTTACCCCTTTCATATACATGTACCATTTTCAACAGAAAAGGTGCACCTATCGTATACCTTCTATTGACGAATGGTACCCCTGTCACATACCTAGTTTGCAACGTTGCACCCCTTTTAACTGTTGTCAAGAGCCATAATGGGACTATAAACAGTGCACTGTCTTTTGAAGATGAATAAATCACTAAACCCCTTCAGTTAGCCCTTCAAGGGCCTTTTATAGACCGAGATGACATAATTTCTCTATCCTTTCAGTTATATACTTCAGCTGGTGAAATCCCTACTCTTTTATATACCTGACGTCCGAGGCGGGCGCTTTCCATTTGCTATTAATCATGACTATCCAACAAGATTAGTCTATGTATTCCTGGTATGTAGGCTTTGATAGAATGTGCTTGCAAAAGTGGCATTAAATGCAACCAGCGGTTCTTCTATATTTCTAAAATTATGCCAATAGTTATGCTAGTTGTTATAAATTATGCTCATTTTAGCAACAAATGCAGCGATTACGCTTCCTACGTTTTACTTTAAATTTGGCCTCTGTCAGTAACTATGCAACAAACAAGCAATTGGCAAACACATTCACTCTACTTACATTATTATTATTTATTTCATTTTATTTATTATTTATGGTCTGACAACCATAAAAACTCAAACAATTAACAACCAGCAATTGGACGCCATCTTGGGTAACCAAGATAGTTATTCGCATGCGTTGACTCCTGTGGAAAAAGTCCTTTGTCACTTCCCTGTAGGGCCAAGGTCCCATGAATGTGCGGAGAAAAAATTGATTTTGTTACTTAAATTAGCCTGTAACACTGATGTCCGGCCAAAAACATTGGTTGAACGATCAATAAACGACAATTTTGTAAACAAGCCAAAAGAGCAAATTATGCTAGCAGTGCTTTTATTTGGAAAATAGGTGAAAATTATGCTTGTGATGACGAATTATGCCAAAAATTATGCTAGCACAGTCCATCAAAGCCTAATATATATTAGGTATGGTCGACAATGGTGGGTTTACGGGAAAATTTTGAGGAAAAAAAAACTAATATTTAATTTTCAAAATGACCTGTCCGGCCGGCCAGCTCTGACTTTTGGAAGGCGCCCTGAAAAAGCTGCCTCTTTTGGGAGGATCCTCCTCGTATTGGCCAACTGACATTGTGACATTTCTATCAAAGTGACAGGTAGTAATTACTTGTCTTTCTTTGCTAAGTGATGACCTTTAGTTGCTCTAATTACTACTATAACTTTAATACTTACATGGCGATAACATTTTTTACAAAGTATAAA